GATTCAATCGACAGCTAATTGAATATTATAACCAATTAACGGCAGACGCTACATTTTATATCAATTTGTATTCCCAAAAAACGCGACAAAATTTATCTATTTTCATCTTATATGACAGCTGCACCGCCCATGTCAGCTTTTTAGTTCTTCGTAGATGATGTTCACTTTTTGTCAGTGTAACTCACTTTAACTTCTATAGGTTAAGTTTTTAGAAACAGGGGCGGATCTAGGGGTGTACATGCATGCAGAATAAATTACTATACAGCTTAAAATCGGAATCGCATTGGTAGATTTTCATGTAAAAAAATATTATTTTTAAATTCATAACCAATAGCGTTGTTATTAAGCTGTTTTGAATTTAATTTGAATTAGGCTGTGTAATTTATTCTGCACACCCCTAGATCCGCCACTGTTTAGAAATATATATCCGTAACATATAGGCTGTAGCGATTTCATGCTCACGACTTTAGACTTTAGTTTGTTGCTAAGCAATTTCATATACATAGCTCGCATGCACAAAGGTCGAAATTTAAAGACTGAAACGTAAAGATGAACTTAAGGAGGTCATAAATTAATCCTGTAAATCATGCATTAATGCACTTCGATATAATTTCTTGTCAAGAAAACAACGCTTCATATAAATAAATTTCTTTGACTTTGCGTTCTAAACGAATTGAATTATAGCTACTTGTTAGCGAAGTTTGAAATTTGTGCTTGATTTGTGCCTAATTCTGTTTGACCTTATAATATATACTATATACCTATAGGCCTAGCCCAGTCGTTGAATGTTGCTAGCTGACACGAGGGATGCTAATTCCATTTGTCTATAAATTCAGACGAGGTCCATGTCCGATGTCTGTTTAATCAAAAGTCCGACGATAAAATGTAACTATATATAACCATAATATACCTTTTAATTTTAAGCATATACTTTAGCCTAAATTGCTCGAAAACTCGAAGTTCATATTTGAGAGCGGTACGTAGCTAACGTACATTTCAGATTCATTCACAGCCTATATTTATTATATTTATTTTTCAAATTACTTGGTTGTGGAAAAGGAAAACGAGACAATTTTAGAAAACGAAAGTTATATTGTAAAATATTAGCGCGAAAACATCGTTTTCTCTTAAAACGCATGAAATTAGCTATAGTATAGACCTGAGCCAATACGTGGTTGTTAGGACGATATCGATCGTTTTGTGTATATTTATCTAAATATTTAAAGTTTTAATTTACACATATCGGAAGTTGTGAAATTAACAAATGTACTGATCAGTTTTGGATCCCCATTTTAGAAGAGAATTACATAACTGATGAACATATATATATACGCACCTTTATATTATAGCGGTAAAACTGAATCTCCACACGATATATATATTATTATCTTTTCACAAGCAAATGTTGATAATTTATATATGGTGTGTTGAGTGGAAAACGTCATACACTTTTGTTTCGGCTGCGCTTATTGCCAATTAAATGTTATCGGCAAAAACTGGATTCGCAATCCCATGCATATGCATATAACTCCTACATATGGGGTCTGGAATCATAGACATAGACTTGTCGTATAAACATGCATGCACTTCTCCAGATATTTATATCTGCATGCTTAACCACGCAAAGAGGCTAACGATTATATAGCCGGGTTCAGGAAAGTGATATTAAGATTTTAAGTTAACTTCATTGTACAGCAGCAAGCTGTAACTTTTAAAGTAGCCCGCGTGTGCTCACCCAGGGGTCACTAAATTAAGGTAAAACGTATATTAATGTTCACTTTATCGGGCTAATTACGGTGACTACTTTGTCTTTGTCGGTTAAAATGAACTGAAGGTCTGTTGGAAATAGATTTTCACTTTATGCACTGCCTTAATTTACGATTCAAGTAATATTTTAAGATTCTGGTTCTCATATGTCACCGACTGTCCGCGACACATAAATACATCCTCTTTCAGCCTGGTCCACACTTGTCCTAAGAATCTAGCTGGCTTCTCATATGTCGCTGACCATCGGCGATGTATTGTTTGCAGCCGATGACGAAGAAAATTTATTTAAAAAACAAATCGTGCACTTCATTCATCAGTGATTACCGACAACAGCCATCGCCGACCGTCGGTGACAGGCCTTAGCAGCATTTCTCCCAGTGTTCGAGCGGTTGTCATGCAAATTATGAGGAATGCCACCCCGTCTCCATACCCCTTAATCTCCCCCTGTAAAATGCATGCTATATGTGTTCTATTGTCATTTTATGAGAAGTGCCACCTTGCCCCCACACCCCCTAATCTTTCCCCTGCGAACATGTATTATACCTTATATATATGTACATTGCCACATTAGAAGCGCCACTCACACCACACTTCCTAATTTATCGCCACTCCGCGCCCCCGCTTCCTTTACCCTTTCCCCATGTTAATATGTATACAATATATATGCATGCTCCATACAACTTGCATGTACTCCGATCAGTGCTTATACTATACTATGATCAGTGCCTCCTGTACTGCACTGTCAAAGATGAGTCCGGGTTTTTCCCGTTTGAAAAATACAATGAAATTAACTAGCGTGCAATGCCTTTAAGGGCATGTGTCGACCAGCACTTGGAAAAATGTAGTTTATGTACCCAGGAATTATATTGTATAGATTTGGTACAGAAACATAGATATTTGTCGCCATAACAGAGTCTATTTATGAATCAAGGCCACTTCAAATCTATAGATATCGGACAGGAAAACGGAAAAACTTGTCAGTTACTTATAAATTAAGTATACACGACAGTTGGGAGTTCAATTATTCCCGTTAAAACCTTGCGCCATCCTTTTGCCGTAAAAGGCGTACATTTCGTCATGCAGTGGGGTGATTTTAGATTAGGAACTTTGAGATTGACGTTTACGAAAAACCGTTAAAATGTACTCTTTATTTAACTATACTCGCTGATTGAAGTTGGAATAATAATGTCCATCATAAAAGTTTGCCGTTTGCGATTAGCAGTTCCGTGGACATGGATCTTCAGACCGGTTTTCCACTAGCGATAATTATCTTTTAAGACATTTTACTTTCGTTTCGGAGCTGTCATGCAACTGCACAATCTTGGACAAATTGCTCAAATACAAAAGAATAAGTTCGCTTTGCGCGAAGAATATCACTATAGTTGGAAAACGGATTGAGTGTCTCTATTACAGGACATCTCTTGAACGTTATATATTGCATGGTTTCAGCTTAAACTTTAACTGTGGATCATTGGATGATGAAGAACAAATCCATGCACCCGTTGACTACCGCGTGCATGTAAACAGGTTTTATATACCATCTACTTTGCGCTTTGACATTTCGCTTCATATAGATTTCTCTTTCGTGTGGGAAACATCTCGAGTTGCGACCAAAATACTTTTTCTATATATAAGCTCCATTTTTCCCTGCGGCAAAAATACCGCAACTGAAGAAGAAATCTCTCTTACGCCAAAGAAAAGTAACGAAAGATGGAGTGGGAAATGCATAGGCTTATATTCGTGGAATGTTAATAAATGTATAAGCGCGTTTTTATTTCATCACGCGGGGCGCCACTTTGAAAAAGAGATTTCAATTATTAAATCATGAATATTGGCTGCATTTTATGTTTGCTATAGACGTACACACAACGAAACGAAGCATTAATTCATTGTTTAAAACAGATGTTATCATTCGAGACATAACAGTTTTTCTGTTTTTGTCCTTTGATATCAATATATATTATGCTCCTTGTTTTTATCTTATAAAGCAAACAATTTCCGTACAATAATCCCCACACGTGATATATACGCGTGTATAGTCGTAAAACATACGTTTGTTGCTTTTTTTATTTTTTCAGTCAGCATCTTTCTGTGCTGTACATGTCAATGAAGATTTAAAGCGACTATCGGACGCGCCAGGATATAGTGTCTCTGATGCCATAACTGCATATGTTGTCTATACCGAGTCGCTGTATCGCCCCATTTAAGACAATCCGGAGTCCATGCATGCAGTATTGCATGCAGACATTGCTCATAACTATATAAATTTGACGAGGTAAAGAAATCCAAAACAATTATATACGCAGTGTCCCGAATCTAGGCACATAGGAGTCCATTTTGATATGCAAGTAGTGTGGAATTAAGCCATTCGGACAGTACTCGTAATAACGTGATTCAATGCATCATGGGGCTATTTTGGTGAGGAGCCTTTTTTCACTGTATTATATAAAAAATATTCTCTTGGCCTTGCCTTATTCATACCCAATTTTTATCCCTGGAAGCTAATCAGGAAATATCGAGATGGGTCTTGGTAACCTTAATAAAACATGCATGACTTTAGTCTATGTAAATATTATCGTTTGTATGACAGGCAAACATAATGAAAAAATTAAGCTTCCACTTGTAATGGTATATCTTGTAAGTGAGCCTAAGTATGTCAATAATTCATATTGATGTTCGACTTCGTCTGATTTCACCTTTGCAAAGTTCGAATCCTGCTTCCGGGTACCCATCTGATCTTGTTGGATCAGTTGAAGTGAATACAAAGAAAGGGTCGTTCATGACTTCCCACTGGGGAAGGAAGAGCAATTTTGGACTGGCGGAGCTATCCGCGATAAAGATATAGCAACTTTCAATGAAATATGGCCTAATTTGTACTTCGAGAAAGAGCAATTTACAGAACTTGGATATAAAGCTATACATGCAGAGCTATATAAGGCTAGATTAGTTTAATTTTTCTTCAATCTTTCTATATAGTACGTGATTTAGTTTAATAACTTTGAGATGCGGCTTGCCATGCATGCAGGTTCATTAGCGAATTCACTTTTAAAACGGGTTTGACCAGTGAGGTTCGTCTTAATGTCAATGCTTCGTTCGGTTTATCATTTAACGTATATCTAGTCTACTATCTAAATTCAATTTTCTTCAATATACATAGCTACATAAACCAGTATCCCACAAAATTAATCCAAGAAATGTTAATAATAGTCTATATATACTAATACGCACAATACCTTAAATATGAGAACTTCAATGTGTCCACATTACTGTTGAGATATCATTTTTTTCTGTGTGGGTTTGTTCGGGAACATTCTTTGAGAGAAACGCTTTAGTAATTGTAATGGCCGTCGCATCAGCGGAAATGTTTTTAAACTGTCTGGTCTTATCTATAAAAGATTGTGGGAGTTAGCAACATTTGACTAATAGCCATCATTATTCCCGAGACTAATTATAATACCGCGCATTCTTACTCACGCTGCCCTGCCTTGGTAATCCTGTTAGACGGAGAATTAAGCCTGTTCAAATGATGAAATAAGCATAAGCATAAAAAACAATAAAACTTTAAATTTCCTTTCATGGTGCTTTTGGTACTCTTCCTCTCATTTTGCTTTCTAGTGTAAAATTCGTTTCTTATATATTTATGCTTTTAACCTTTTAGATTTTCCTCATAGCTTTGGAAACTTAACTTCCTACTTTTCTTCCGTGTTGTATACTGTCGTGTTTTTTATAGCCAAACATTTATTGCTTTTGCACCATATGGCTTGTTTCTGCAAAGTTTAATCAATTCCAATCATCATGCAGCGTTTGGTCGCCGGGCAAGATGATTTTCACCAAACACGTGTAAAAACATATTTCAGCAGAGCATGCCTTTAATGCACCCTCAAAATTTTACCATTAAAACGTCAACCTTTCAAAATTCCACTAACGATTTCGCTAATATTTGCATGTATGCATGCACTGAGGCAATTACCCTTGCACGGATTGCGGACATGTTGATTGGTTACCTCTTGACGACTTGGCCGTCTGCAGCTCATGCAGTCGGCGGGCATTTTCAGGCTGGAGTATATCTTCTTTTAATCATTCAACTAAAGTTTTCGGAAGCGGTGTTTTGTGTAGATTCAAATTGTGTCCACTTAGTGATAGTTAAGGTGACATACGCTAAGATACTCGGAAATATGTCATCATCTACGCACCCACATACGACCGGCACACTGTTTTACATCAGACAGTTTCTCCAGCAATTAATTGAAAGGATAGCAGTGCATGTGGCGTTACATTTTCACAAAACATTCTCACGAGGTCTGCATGTCATGGCTTAAGTTGCAGCATGATGCATGCATGACAATGATGTTATCTTGCTATAATTCTCATTCATTTCTCTCGCGAATCGCGACTGGAGCGGATATTTCAGTAAAAACATGCAAGTATAACTATAGAAAAGTACGTATAGAGAAAAGCTGAGCACAATAACAGCAGCAAACCACTTCAAGTCAAAATGACGCTTCAAAATAAATACAACTGAGTAAAAGTTTTGTGCTTGTTGTTTTGGTGCGGGGTATATCTATACGAGATGCATCACTCACTCACTCACACTGTCTGTTTTCAGATTTTCAACAACATCGATCGTGCAGACAAGAAATTTAACCTTGTTAAAGTGTTAATGCTGGTTGATCACGGAAGATATGTAATAATAACTACAATGTCCTTCAGCAGTACCAAGATTTGGGCGAGGATTTGGGTTAGATTAGTTCATTGATGAAACATTAAGTATAAAGATGTTCATAGGAGGTAAGCCTCTTGTGTTTTTGTGTGTTTCTGCCAGTAGTTAATGGGCGAAGAACCATTTATGTAATGTGATTTATTTACGCATATAGATATATTGCCAGCCATGAATTTTGCATACCCTTTCCGCAGCTCAGTTTTCTGAGCATAATAAAGACACATTAAATTTTACGCCGTTTTGGGATAATTTTGGCTAGGAGTAATGGTTCTCCTAGCCGCTTTATTTCTGTTAAACAAAACGATATTTATTGATACATTGCATTAAAATTCCAAATATTTACGCTCAGAAAAGGGTGGAGGCAAATTACCGCCAGCACCTGTAGATACGGCCTACGACCATCACTAATTAAGATATAACGTTCCTTCCTCTATATATATCAGTTACGGTAAATCGTCCAATGTACATAATTTTTAGCGGAGGCTTTGGGGAGGAGGTGGGTTCAACTTTAAAGGAGCTCTGTCTTTTGCGATGTCACGCTTAAACTGACCGTTTGTGGTTTGGGTATTCGGTCTTTGTTAGTTTTCGATTTGCTGCTGGCCATTCACCACCTTTCCCATATTGCGTGCCATCCATTACCTGTCGGTCTTTTAGATTGGACGCAAAGCCCATAATATAAGATTTTAAATTATCGTCGGCAAGGCGTATCCCCTTGGGGGTACACCTTGCCTTAGTAGTCTATTTATAAAATCACATTACATAAATTTCTTATTTCCTTCGTAAATATTTTGTTTTATGTAATGTGATTTATTTACGCATATAGATATATTGCCAGCCATGAATTTTGCATACCCTTTCCGCAGCTCAGTTTTCTGAGCATAATAAAGACACATTAAATTTTACGCCGTTTTGGGATAATTTTGGCTAGGAGTAATGGTTCTCCTAGCCGCTTTATTTCTGTTAAACAAAACGATATTTATTGATACATTGCATTAAAATTCCAAATATTTACGCTCAGAAAAGGGTGGAGGCAAATTACCGCCAAAACAACGAAGCAAAGCAAGTTGACCCCACCCCAAGGAAAGGGATGCATGCAGAAAGTTTCGTAATACAATAATACAGGATCAGCGGTCTGCGCGACCTGATAAACGAACATGGGCAAAAAGGCACTTACAAAGCCCGTGAAAAGGCATAGATTATCGCCCTTGCTGATAATCTACACTTAACTGATATTAGTTTAGCAGAGTCACAACATTACCGCGCCAAGAAGAAGCTTCTCCATCACCCTGTTATAAGCACTTTATTTCCTCCCCCAGAATGCAAACGATCGCCCTTGCTGACCATGTGCAAGCTGAGGAAGAAACAAAATAGCCGCGCAATTCGAGCAGAAAACTCCCCGCAGGTTTTCCGCTCGAAAATTCATCCAAACTATGTTGATAGGGAAGAAAAACGTATATATTTGAGGAATGCGTTCGATTTCCAACGACCCATAGTTCGAATTTGGGCATCCGAGTGCCCGTGTTCAGCTGCGTGGGAGGCGGCGCCTATTCGAAATGAATGAGACTTATATTTGGAAGTATCGAGTCCACAGAAGCGGAAAGCCTTTTTAAGAAGATTGGCAAACTCGTCACATGAGACTGGAATGCCCAGTTGTGATAGAAAAATAGCTCCGGGCTGGGCGCCTCGCAAAATCATGTACTCCTCTAATAAGCGAACAGGACAGCATGCCGTTTGCCTGTGAATTTCCAAACTAAAAGGTCTACTGTTATAATTGTGCTTGAAATCCTCGAAAGTCAACCTTATGCCTGCAACCCGGCCATCATCGGAAGATAGTTTGGAGAGTTGTCGCAATTGAAGGGGTTGGCTATTTGACTTCTTAGTTATTTCTCCAATTCTCAGGAACGCGAAAAATGCTAAAGAGCACATTGCCCGGAATTGACATATTTGGTACGGTGACCCAGCAATATGAGGCGCAGCCTCAATAAGACGATTGAGAATTGGTAAAGTTATAGGCAACCTACTATCTAAGCGGAAGCCTTTCTTACCATACCCCTTTAATATTTGCGTTACGTAGAAAACTCTCGTTGGATCCGGTAGATCGGACATGCGATGAGTATAACCCAGTGCAGATACATAAGTATTAACTGTTGAAGAGGCGTACTTGAGGTCAAATAAGTACGCTATGAATAACGCGACGACTGAGGGCGACAAAGGCAAAGTGAACGATCCCTCATTAAAAATTGCCACATGAAATTGCGCAAAAAGTGCCCATGCCCGCTTATAAGTCGGCACTGAAGAAGGTTGCAAGCTACTTTGAGCTAATTGAGAAACTATAGTCGCCAATTTTCCGGCAGCAGGTGAAAGGGAATAGGCGTTGGAGCTCGATGCATGTCGGCCGGCGCCAATTGTGAAAATTTTTGGAGCTGTAAACGAGACAAACAATCAGCTAGGACATTTTGTTTACCTGGTATATGCTTTGCTTTGAATAAAATATTGTTTTCTAAACAAACCAAAACCATCCGGCGAACGAGTGTCATGATATAAGAATCCTTTGATGTTTGCTTATTAATAACAGACACCAAAGCTTCATTATCCGTGAGAAACAAGATACAATGATTGCGCATTTTTGATCCCCATAAACACAGGCTGAGGACAATCGGATATAGCTCTAGAACGGCAATATTGTAACTCCGCCATTCAAATGGCCATGCGCCATAGCACCAGTCGCAACCAAACAGGGCCCCAAAACCAATACTACCCGAAGCGTCAGTATATAAATTCAAATGGGAGTTATCACGCCAATGGTTGTGCAAAAAGAATGATTTGCCGTTGAAATTCGACAGAAACGTTTGCCAGACACGAAGATCATGTTTCACACTTTGCGTTAAGCGAATAAAGAAATGAGGGTGTGAAATGCCACGCGTTAGATCAATTAGGCGTCGCAGGAATGCGCGACCTGGCATAATGACGGAACATGCGAAATTAAGTAATCCAATTAAGGACTGAAGTTCTTTGAGTGTAACCTTTTTACGAATTAAAAAGCGTGCTATAGATTGAACACATTTCTCGATTTTATCAATCGGCAATCGGGCCTGGAATTGTATTGTATCTAATTCAATCCCAGCGAACGTTAAGGTTGTTGAGGGACCCATGGTTTTTTCCGGTGCTATAGGCACGCCAATGAAATCACAAAGAGCAATGAATAATTGTAAGTTTGTTTTACAAGCAGAATAATCCGGTGCAACAAACAGGAAGTCGTCGAGCAAATGAAGGAGTTTGCCGATGTTAAGCCTTTCCCTAGCGATCCATTCGATAGCCGTACTAAAAATCTCAAAAGTGCGACACGAACTGGAGCAACCCATTGGCATTGCCCGGTCGTAATAATACAAACTCCGCCATTTTATGCCTAAGAGGTGATAATCCGCTGGGCTGATAGGAATGATTCGAAAAGCATTTTTTATATCTGTTTTTGCCAGGAAACAACCCCGGCCCGCTTTTTTAATAAGTTGAATAGCGTCGTCAACGGTAGCGTACCGCACAGATGTTTCGAAATCGGGTATACCATCGTTAACCGATGCTCCCTTTGGAAACGATAAATGATGAATCATGCGAAAATCACCCGGTTGTTTTTTAGGAACCAGGCCCAAAGGCGAAACCCGAAAATTTGGAAAGGGCGGAGAATTAAATGGCCCAGCAAGGCGAGATGCCTCTAACTCTTTCGTTAATTTTTGGTCAACCGCTTCTGGGTTGTCAAGAGCAGACCGTAAATTTTTTGCTTCAAACGACTGTTCTGCGCCAGAGAAATGAATGCGAAAACCCGAAGTAAATCCGGAAATTAGTGTATCAACAATACTTGGATGATAACCTTCTAACAATATTTGTAAATTATGAAGTTTTACGGGTGTTGGCAACGGACTTTGTTGAAATAGGCTTAGGCGATCGATCAGTGGGAGATGGTCTGTTGTTGGCACGAAAATTACAATTCACGGCACGGTGCGATCCGTTGCATTTAAAACAAATGTGCTTGAAATCACAACCGGCACAAAACGTTCCGCGATGAAACTTAAAACAATATCCCCGAGGAACAGACCTTTGAAGGGTGGCGCGTATAATTGTTGCCTTGCGTGTTCGGCTTAGACGTAGTGGGATATGAGATTCAACCATAACTCCCAGTGAACAGTCGCCCAGGGAACGCGCGTGGCCTGTGTTTGGCGCAAAAATCGAAAATTCTCATCGTAGTAAAACCAATTATGACCCCTATTGGCCAAATCCTGGATGATTTGACAATATTTCATGAGCGCGGGGGACTCATGGGGTACCGTTGTGTATAAATGGAAACAAAAATATGAAACGAACGAAGCCAATCGCTAATAGTTTTGACCCTTTTGGATTTCGCAGTCGGCTCAAGGAGAAGAGAAGCAGGTTGACCGTTGTCAGAGGTCGTACACTAATCTCGTATTTAGCGGCCGCGTCTGGGCCACCTGACAAAGTACTTATATCGACAAACTCCTCATTCCATATTTTAAGCTTTATTTTATCCGGAATCCGCGAATCAAGAGGCAAAGCGGCAGAGTGGAACGATTCCCGTGGACCCGCACTTGAACATTGAAGAGAAAAAGGAGTGGTCTGACCTGTAAGGTTTTCTTGTATGGACGTGAGCGCGTCGTTGACCAGAGAATCTGCATTGGGACCCTGGTTTGAGATTTCGATTCCGGAGGTAGAATCCGTTGGGGCAGACGCCATTGTGGATGTGGAAGACGCAGAGGTTGGTAAGAAACCAGCTAGCTTTTGCGTGACTGCCTCGGTAACCGAAGACACCAGCGTTGAGATAAGCTCACTCGAAAGAGAGGGCAAAGTCCTCACTCACGGGCACAGTTGACGTTGACGGGGCGGCACCAACAGATACAGCATTGGACGAACTTCGAGTTCGACGAGATGTTGTTGGTTGGTTCTGAACAGACTCTCGCAAAAACGGCTGATGGAGCGGCGACACGCTTAGAACGACGTACGGGTGGCATTCTAAAAATAAAACTTTAAAAGCAGAAATAGATACTTATGGCGTAATGAGTTAATAGTAAAGCAACCGCACCCAAATTTTGTCGTTGTGCGAGAAATAAAACTATCCCCCGTAAGGCGAACATTCAATAGTGAGGATTCGTCGTTATTTGTCGTAATTGAAAATTGGAACTGTGTGAAAGAATGATTATCAAACGTCAGCAGGATGAACATGGCAGATCCGAAGATCGCCGCACCGTTCACCCTATGGCCAACAAAACTCACAAAAAGTGTGAGAACTCTCATATAGAGAGAGATAAAATCAAACGTCAGCAGGATGAACATGGCAGATCCGAAGATCGCCGCACCATTCACCCTATGGCCAACAAAAAACTCACAAAAAGTGAGACTCTCATATAGATGAGAGATAAAGACAAAATCAAACGTCAGCAGGATGAACATGGCAGATCAGAAGATCGCCGCACCGTTCATCATATGGCCAACAAAATCACAAACAGTGTGAGAACTCTCATATAGATAAAGATAAAGATAGAATAGATAAAGGCGCTAAAGCGCTATAAGAAGTAATCACGAGTAAAGTTTGTCAAATTCAAGGTTATAGAAAAGTAAATGTAACGTACGACATGCAGCTTGTTATATAATATAGAGAAAGAATTTTATAACATTTTAATTGCTTGAAGAATTGCCCCCCGATAACTTCGGTATAATTTATATTGCCCGATTCTATTAAAATGGACCCCGTCAGGTAGAAATGGCGTCACGGAAGGTCGTATAAAGCCATGGTGTGTCCATAAAAACACTCTCGGGACCTTCTCTAAAACTACCTGTAGGTAATTATTTAGCATTAAACGCTGCTTTTCAAAAAGAGGGTTGTTCTTTCGCGGGGAAATCAGGCATACGCATACCAATTTTACGCGATATTGATCTAGCATAAAGCAACCAAGTCGTCAATGCGTGAACCGACTGTTTCGGGCCTTAAAGCGGACAAATCGTTCGTGCCTATCTCCAGAATAACAATATCTGGGGCACACCGAGAAACTACCCCTAAATCAAATTTGCGGATCTTCTCCACTGTTCTACCCCCTATACCGTGTAGATAAACTCTCGCTGTGCCCTTGAGTTTAAAGGTCGGGCACATGCGAATATCCCGCTTACGTTTCAGGTCGCACTGTAGGCGACGAACAAATGAGTGTCCCAGGACCAAAACTTTTGGGGGTACCATTGTGTATTCGTAGCTACTATATGTATATGCTATATTAATATATAAATATATATATAGAAAAACAAATATAACACTTCTGTAAATACCTTTCAACTTTAAAGGAGCTCTGTCTTTTGCGATGTCACGCTTAAACTGACCGTTTGTGGTTTGGGTATTCGGTCTTTGTTAGTTTTCGATTTGCTGCTGGCCATTCACCACCTTTCCCATATTGCGTGCCATCCATTACCTGTCGGTCTTTTAGATTGGACGCAAAGCCCATAATATAAGATTTTAAATTATCGTCGGCAAGGCGTATCCCCTTGGGGGTACACCTTGCCTTAGTAGTCTATTTATAAAATCACATTACATAAATTTCTTATTTCCTTCGTAAATATTTTGTTTTAAGTGCGTATTCTATTTTTCGGTGAACTGAGTGATCCTATTCAAATATCAAATCGTTTTAAATTCATATCTACTTGTGCTATTATTAAATTTTGCATTACGTAACATCTGTTCGATTCCTTGCACGATATCAATTCATACAACGCAGTAAATAATCGCAAATGATGAAATGAAGCGCTTTATTTATTTTACTAGTGACTTATTTAAATACAGCGCGCGTAGAACAGTGTTTTCTTGCATCCTGTAAGCGATATAACCCCTCATATGCACTCGCGCTCGTGCGCAAAGGTTAAAAAACACAATTAGCAAACATCGCGCGCTGAGCTTTGCTAATGCGTATTTCTGTTGAAAACATCAAATGCGCGAAAACATTCTATTTTTACTTTTAAGCTCAGTTTTGCAAATTAGGCAGGTAAGTCGTTTCATTTGCACGTACATGAAGTTTTAGTTGTGTTGTATACGACATAGAAGCGTTATTACAGTAAAACTGATCAACTGTTTACTTTGCGGAGCATTGAGGAGCTTATCACTAACACAATCCTATTGTACATATAGCTACGTTAGTTTCTTCGTCCGCTCTTTAGAATCTAGTTACTAATAACTTAAGCCTCTTGAGCATGCGTCCGAAATATTTGATAAAAAACATCGGTGTTTACCTTGCAATGAGTCCGAAATACCGTCCGAAATGACGATGAATGTTTTCACTGACTATCAAACCGTAAACGTGGGTGCCAATATTTCACTCCCCGGTGATTTGTGGCTGCTCGTGCTAGACTCTTATGACCTGTATGACCTTTTGTTTCTCGCGTGGCTTATTTGTTTACTAGGCGCCGTTGAAAAACACTTGGAAATTTTTTAGAGATTTCAATCAACAAACAAAAGCATATATGATGTTTTTCTGCGAAATCGTCGCTCTAAATGACGATACATCATTTCTCAATTTGTCAACGCAGCGAAGCAAACGTTAGTGATTGATGGCCACTTGGATTTAATTTTAAATAATTATTGAAAACCTGGCCTGGGCTAAGGTTGAACATACACGAAAGACGCTATAGTTGTAGGCTTCGTTATGACTAAACTAAGCCGCTTATTATAATAGTAATATACTAATATAGCTATACCGGTCTTATTACTTCTATACTGTTATTCCGGGATAAAGATTTTAAGATTAAACACCGATTACTGAGAGGGAAAAACGTTAAACAAAAATTATTTATGCTGGTTATTAAGCCCCGAATGTTCTCGATCTTAAGGAAGTGTCCTTAAAAAAAATCTAACAGTTCAATTGTTTAAAGTCAGGTTATCTTTGTCTGCTGCCGGGGATTGACTCCTCCAATGTGAGAGTGCAGGACCTTGTGCGTGTTTTAATGGTCTGTTAATTTGAATCTATGTATATAAACTTTCAGATGAAAAGAATAGAATTTGAATGCATTCGCAACACATAATGAACGCGACGTTTGAAAGTGACTGCTCTCTTTTAAGGAAATATATTGACAATTATTGACAATATAAGATGGCCCTTCATTATTGCAAGAACCGTGTGGAGTCTACTGATATAGAGCTTAAATAGGGTATTTAAGATTAACTAAAAGTCTGGTTTTAGTTTCCATATACGTTGCCTGCCCACAGGGATGAATTATGCGATGATAACACAGGAGTATTATTAATACAGGTATAACTGGTCTAACTAGTTGTCACTGCTGGCTTACTTCAGGCGCTTTAAATGTCAACGCGCACTAAATGATATGCCACGCGACTGGGGAATCATAATAGATATTTTCATGAATTACGTCATTTGGCGCGAAAGCCTGACTCTTACCGTCTGATTATTGAAAGCGAGGCTCCGAAGCAAAAAAATGCGTTTGTGACATTGTAGGCGAACGCATGCAAGATGGCGGACACTGTAATAATAGCCTCAGAGTATTCTCATTTGCAGAACTCGCATTTTTGTGGGGACTGCGGAAGAGCCAACAGTCATAAACAGTCAAACACAGCTTGAAAATGACTAAATGAGAGCTTCTGGTGTTAATAAAATAACTCGAATTATTGAAATAATAAATTCTATGTTTCAATAGAACGTCCTTAAACGCAGAACATCTGATACCCTCTCTAGACACGTGTGACTTCTTTACTGTAGTTACTGTAGATCAGTATCAACCAATCAGACTCAAGTTTGAATTAACTACGATGTAACTGCTTAAATGTGGTTAAGTGTTTTCCGCAACCGGTCCCAGCTAAGTTCCAACCGGCTCTAGCCGCTGTGTGATTATTTGCACATTTGAGTTTTGCCCGAAAAATGCTCTCAATAATATGTAATGTCGTAGTACACGCGTGCAAGTAATTAAAGAAATCACAAATCGCTGAAATTGATCTAACAGATGATGTCCTGTTTTGCTTAACTGCTATTCGCAGATCCTTTCTATTTACGCATTGTCGCCAGCTCATTAGCGCACTTCCGAACATGTTTTAAACGCATTATTTATCAAGCATGGCATATTACAAATTAGAGATGAATTGAGCATGGTAAAGTGACGGGTGATAAAAAATAGATTAGTTTCCAAGTATATTCGAGAATAATCAAGTCGGTTTATCGACTTCTTAAGTTATACCAGAAGGTTTTTTCGGTATTTTGTCTGAGATCCAGGTAGTTGCAAATACAATAACTAAACTAAATAACATGTGAAAACAATGTAATGATGAAACTTACGAACTGCAAACTAACAGGCAGTCAGACACAACTCATATTCGACAGACTTAATAAAACTCTATGAAAGATTTCTTCTTCCACTGAGCGTATATGCATATGGATGGAATAAACACCAAACGACCTTTTCTTCAAACTTTAGCAATAAATCTATACTACTTTATTGATCACTGTAAACTGAGAGACAAAACGAGTTGAAAAGCATAGGTATCCCAATAGTCAGCTGCCAAGATAAATGGAAACTGGCGAGAGTTTTTTGTTTATCTGTTTTATTCATTGGTTTTCTTTTAAAACAGTGGCGATTGGCTTTCAAACAAGACATAACAAAATGCAAAATTTATTGGCTAAATTAAGCTACAACAGAATATAGCCTGATTATATGAAATTAAAGACGCCAACATGTTTAGGAATTCACCACTGAACATCATATAACGACATTCTTCCAATAGCAATATCACGTGCCGCTTCTACCAAATCAGGTTCAACATTTTATGTAACTCAAATATGTATCTCAAATATTTTCAAATGCATGCATGTACCACGTGAACTCACATTGCTTGATTCTTTGGTAAATAAATAATATTCGCGTCACATAGAGTTACAACTTTTTTATTTCGCTAAAATATTTGCGCAGATATAGGCGCATATATATAAATAGACTAAATTATACACCACGCATTCTGTTTTTTATTAATTTTCTTATTTCTTAAGCAACCTTTTGATGGATTTAACATTCTGCTAGCTGACAGACTGAGTCACTAAGCAGAACTCCTTATACGGCAGTTATATGAGTATAGCTATATTTAGCGTCCAGCAAAAAACGTCAGATGAAACTCCTTCAAAATATTGATAGTAAAAAAATTCTTGTATGGCATCAATCGCATAAATTTAGCTTGACAAGCCACAACATGTGTTATCGGTTTGGGTAAATTTTACTGAAACTAATCTGAAAGACCACGCTGGCATATACAGGTATGAAATACACAAATTGTATACGCATGCACGATGTGCATGAAAACCCATATTTATTTCGCAAGACTTATCAACTGTTTTCATATCGTTATAATCGGCGAAAGCTATTGTCGATGATCGCTAACGAATGAAGTGCTTGTTATCTCGAATTTTTTTTTCACCGACATATAGGATCTAAACCCCTAATAATGGCTATAAAGGGTAAAAATATTCATGTAGTTTTTTTCGATTGATGTCAAGCTTTGGGAATTTTACAACAACATTCAGCATTGACGTGCAACGCACATTGTTCTGTCTTGTTTTCTGATTAACCACGCGCAATAATGTCGTTATTATACGTCATATAGTATTCCAGAACCTTTAGTTAATTGATATTGATTTTAAGTAAAAAAGCAAGGCTTTACAAATTTTTTTATTTATTTTATCATATTTGTAAAGGATTTCTGTCTTGTATAGACTGTAATATTACACCAAGGACAAATTTAAGCGGCTTTTCAAGACCCTGCGTATCATTACCGTGATCATTGATCAACCTGCATAACTGGAAGTCGAAGACTTCAAATTTCTGTCAGAAAGTCTGTCTTCCTAAATATCCCCCCCCCGTAATTACTTCGATAGACACAAGGTTATAATTTCGGCTTGATTCGTCGAGTCGAGTTTCTTGTCCCCATGTGACACCCCTTTTCCTCGTCACTAGTGCATCCTACCGTTTCGTCCGGAATGTCGCTGTCGAAATTTATAAAAAATATTGTCGAAGAGAGTTAAATTTCTCCGTGGGAACTTTGCGACCGAACGTAATTGCATGCATTGCATTGGCAACTTGCATGGCGACCGAACGTAATTTTGGACGATTTGAATATTCTACAAACCTCAGATCTCAGACATAAGATTTAATACCTGATTTGTTGTTGCGTCCGTGGGCTCAGCAGAGCACTCAGGTATTTCAAACCACAACAACAACAACAACAACAAATACCGGCTTTTAAATTACGTGACAATGAGATTTCCTCAATTCAAATTATTTGAACCCTTAAATTTGAATCTCCCCTTATTTTCCCCTTTTTTTTCGAAATCATTGTGATTATAGTTTTTGTGTGTTATAGGGGTAAGGTTAGGGGGAATGAATTACACTAAGTTGTTTTACACAACTTTTGCTAGCTTCTTAAACGAGCTGCTTGGCCCCACACGAAACTGCATCATATGACTAGGTCTTGTTTTCGAGACGTTATATCTACCCGTGCGAATTATCTAAAATTTAATCCAAAAAAGCTTTCTAATTATATTTATGAGATAACATAGTTGAATTACCTTTTACTCGTTGCAAATTCCAAGCTTTTAATACAATAATAGTTTTGTGACGTTCACTCCGTTGCCTTGTTACAATGCAAGCCACATTACACACTTGCTGTTTTTTAACTATATGCAATTTATAAACAGTGTTAATTGCATTTTTTAGTGCTAATTACCCGTCAACACTGGCACTTTCGCAGCGTTTTGTACGAATAATGCGGTTCTATTACAAAGGCATCTGTTCAAAATCCCAAAATTTAATTTCAATGTTAGTGTTTTGACGCGGCGCCTCAAAAGCCGCAAATTTCAGTGTAATGCTTTTTTGAAAGACAACGAGGCTATTTTTTTCAAAAAGCAAGAATATTCGAAGAACTGTTGCTCAATATGTAATTTACTGGTAGAAAAAATCCAAAACAGCATTTTTTTAGCTAGTTGATAAGTAAAGTCGCAATTCACAACGCATATTTATTCTATTCAATTATTTATTACGTCTAAGCCTTTATTTTAAGTTTTTGTAATATTAAAAATATATCCACCACATTTGAGACAGAAAACATTTTTATAATAAAAAATAATTAAAAGAGAACGTGACTCGTGCATAACAACTGTATGTTTCTTCTTATTGAAGAAATGCGTTTTTTGCGATAAACTTTACTTTTTTATATTCAAAGATATGCAGAAATTAAGAGTACGTTAGCTAATTTACAGCCTAACTATATACATAACTATGTATAAGCTATTCTGCCACCTGATATGTTTGCGGGCATGGAAAAAAAACTACGAACGACTGTAATGTACAAAAAATGCACTTTTTCACCAAAAATCGTACGGCGCTACACATTTCTAATTTTCGAATTTTGGACTGGAATTTTTCGACTATCTTGGTCGTAAAACAAATAGTGGAGCGAACAGCGTTTTAAACTCATCGGCATATTTGTCTACATTTTTCAGGCAAGCCAATCAGTAATGCCTAGATTTTTAATACTTCATGTAAAATGGTAAATAATGTACCTTTTCTACTGGAGGTGGACAAAATGTATGCATTCTGATTGGGTTACTAAAAATGCAAACAAACTTGCTGATTGGTCTAAAACGAAATTCCTCCTGTTTAATGAAGGGTGTTTTGGAATTCTTGAGGCTGAGCGCAATTTACTCTGCCCTTTTGGCAAAACTGCAAGAATTTGTGTATCAAACCCATCTGATTCCACATTTATTTACGTTGGGCTTTCCTTGTACTGATATTCATTGAGAGATGGCGATGGTATAGATGCTATTTAAAATTGGCTCTTCGCTCCGTAGTGACGATCTTGTGCAAGGAAATTTCGTTAGATTGTGGAAACACCTCCTTCCAGATTTTAAAACTGCTGAAAATAGGCTTCGAAAATTTGCCAATTTGATTTATTTTTGTATTGAGTGCGGAAAATGTGACCATTTTCGGCAGAAAAGTAACAATTTTCGTGCGCACTAAAAAGTATATTGATTGCGGAGTTTGCAATTAAGCAGACCATATTTTCCGTTCAACATGTGACACTCCAAAGCAAAGAATTGTCTATTTGTTCATTGCCCATTGTTCTTGGTTCAACATATCTCATGCATGTAGTGCAAGTATTACCTGTGGAAATATTTGTTTAGGGGCAACCCCAAACGGGGTTTTACGAGTTTTACAATCATATCATTTATCCCAACCGAACGCAACTACCAGAGGGCCCACAAAGCTTAATTCTCCCACTTCTCTATATTCAGAACTAAGAAGGCTCAGTGAATGTCCGGCATGAGTAGTTGGAATTAAATTTTTGACGATGTACATTTCAAATATGGCGAACGGCTGTTTTTTGTTAAATGACATGGTACTTACAATGGCTAATGCTGAAAAGAGCAAACTGAAAAATATAAACCTAGTATGTATGAATTACTTCGATAGCCAGTGAAAAGATAGTGCAGTTTGAATCTGTTTTTTTTTTCAGTCTCAACGCATCTTTTTCGAAGAAGTCAATTTTGTACACGTCTGATTCTTTGACTGATCTAGATTGGATACATTTCAATAATTTCATTCATCTTCTTGCATGATAAAATTAAAACTTCCACTAGTTTCGATTGATATTGATCTAGCATCGTTAAATGTGCCGTCGTTTGATGTACATTTTTTACATTGTTTTGTTTCGTGTCACGCATATCTGTATGTTCGTGTTAATCCGTCCTTCGTGTCATGATAAGTGACACACATTTTTTGGTCCGTATCATGTTTCGTGTCATCCATGTTTTGTTCAGTGTCATATATCTTTTGTTTCAGTAATTGTATTACGTAGTTTCTTCGACGTTTTTTCACGAATGTCTAGTCCCATTTTACGAAATCTACTGTTTTTGTCGCGATACCTCGATTCTACCTTCTCACCTCCCACTTGACTATTTGTGTTCTGTACTACCATGACAATATTCGATTTCACATTCTTATACTTTATCTGTTTCCGATTCAATCCTTCACCCCTTTCAGCGGAACTGATATTCCCTGAGAAACTATTTGTGCCAGACAATTGGGCGCCAAATCGTGATTTTAGGTTCCGCTGACGAATCATTTTTAAGGCCCCAAAAATAAACGGGTTTATGGCTGAGTTTGCATACAGTGTGATGGTGGAGAAAGCCTGGAGGTGGGTGTCTAAAAGATGGGACTTGATGGGCCTGAATGAAAACCACATCCAGTAGCAGTCGCCTGGTAACACGCAGATTACGAAGAGGATGACGGCAAAACTAAAAATCTATAAAACCATAGAAATAAGAGTAATCTTTTATGGTGATGTGACTGTGGTAGTTTAGCGTACTCCTTAATGACTGTTTTCTTTGGAATTTCACAACTTTCAATGATTCAGGTAGAAATAAGTTCTTTTTCGTTCAATGACGAATTCGTGTAAACTACAATGGCTATTAGTAATAAAAAGCGAAATTACAATCCCTTGGTAACGAGGTTTCCACTCTAAGCTAAACCAGTCTGAAATAAGAATTTGCAAGTATAGTCACTGACTCACTGGTCGATGTAGTGTATTAGAAACCAAGTAGTCGAAGGGTATAGTAACGGCGATGGTGATGGTTATCAGGTTACGTTCATAGTGCTGCTGATGTTCGTGTTTATGGTAATAATGCTGGTGATTGAGGTAGTAATGGTAGTGATGATAATGTCATTGATGATAATGCCATTGATTGTAATTATGATGAAAATAGTCGTGATTATGATATCAGTATTGTATTTATACACAACTCTAATGATTTTGATGATAATCTTAGTGATTGTGATGATAATAAAAATTATTTTGATGATAATGGTAGTGATGATAATATAATTGACTTTGATAGTAATGGTAGTGTAGTAATAATAATGTAATTTATTGTGATGATGGGGATGATTAAATACCTTAATGACTTTCTTCTTTTGTCGCAATCTTTTTATGATGGCAAATTTCTCCCTGGAAGATGTCGATTCCTTTCTGTTTAACTTTTTGAACTCCTTATAGAGAACATACCCAGATCTGGTATAACAATATGTTATTATTGTCAATGGTATACAATAATCCATTATGAATAATGCTAGAGTATAGTATTTAGCGTTGTTTGGTACAGACCAATTTTCCAAACAATCATTTTCTGTGTATTTTAATATTTTAGCGTAAGGAATGACGGCTGCAATTGCTATGAGCCAGATGCAAACGATGCTAAAACGAAGCCATTTTGGTTTCACCCTACAACAAAGAGGTAAAATTTAAAGGTTGGGTAACACCAGCGGCATGATAAAAACACGCCTAATTTTCCTTTTCTAATGTGGTGATTATCCGTCAATAAATCGTGATATACAAGGATATGCTGTCACAAACCTTTGCTTAAGAGGGCTACATATAGCTCTATGTCTCTCAAGACTCATAGCCATTAGAGTTAAAATTGAGATAAGTACTAGACATGTCTGAAGCGGATATATCACGTGACATAAAAGAGGTCCGTATGGCCATGAGTCTGCGTAGTTATGGTAAATATCCAGCGGTATTCCAATGACACATACTAATAAGTCTGCAACAGCGAGATTAAGTATGAAATATTCAGTAGATTTGAGACGACCACGCGAGAGTCCCACGCAAATTACCATGTTCGCGAGAGATCCCACGACGCTGATCACGCAGTAGCAAGCTATTTGGGTGATAAATAAGTAGTAATGGACTTCATCGCCACCCGCTGTATCGTTGACGAGCGGTGTGGTGTTTATTTTGTTATGACTCTTCATGGCGTGAGCGACCTAGAGTTAAAAAGAACTCTATATTAGTCTCTCACTTAATACTTTAGTCATGCAGAGGTTTGCATGATATTTGCAATGAACATGCACAGCTGTTATGAAGCTTAAGAGTAAAAGACGACCGAAGGCAAAAAAATCCGGCTGTGTGGCATGCATGTGTCACAACTTTCAATGATCCCTTTGGATGGCCTCGAAATGTAAACAAAATGTGCAGCAAAATCGTGCGACCAAACCTGGTTATATTTCACAAAACGTGCAAGGCGTTAGGGGAGCGAAAAGCTCCACAACGAAATTATAAAGCTTCCTTTGTTATAACAGTACAATAGAGTTTCTGCCCGTCTTAAATCAAGCTCCGCAACTACAATATGTAAGACAGAAGTTTCAAATAATTTCAAATTTTGTCTCGTGCTCTATAAGCTATATAATTCTATAATAACAAGTCGACCATCTTTGATTGCGAAATCCTGACATTATGAACTTTTATGATAATTAATTTTCTAGTTATGTGTCCTAAACCCTGATGTATCAATGTCTATCTAGCATTCACTTTGTTTTTTTTTCGTCAAAAAGTGTAAGTACGCTTTTATCGCGCCAAGTTCTACCGTCAAACGAGCAGAAAGACAGTGACCGATAACAAATTATTTTGCAGACACAATAACAAGTTCGCCAAAAGATTGCCAGTCTTCGCCGAATTGGTGTAGCATATGTTATCATTGATATTTATTTCAATTCAGAAAGCCAAATAATTGCATTTTTTATTGTTTCCTCTATGCCTACATATGTACAGTTTTTACCGCCAACATATGCATATAGACTGTGGTATTCAGCATTCAGTAACACTTAATTAATGCGTTTGTATCTATGAATTTCGACATATAATAACGGAGTCAAAACAAACAACTTTCTAAAGACAAAGCAGCAAGGATCGCCAAATACGTATAAGTGTTAAATTCAACATCAACTACCAATAAATCGACATGTTAGCTTTATTTTCGCCTATGTCTATCTATAAAAATTATGCACAAATTCGTGCCTGATGTATGAAACAAAACAATCTCTTTGAAAGGTGCATTGTTCAGAATAATTTTATGCCACGAATACAAAACAATTCTTCTGAGAACTGTGAAGTGTTCAGGCAAAAGGCGCAGTTTTTTGGCAAATTAGAATAACGAGTTGTTTTTAATGTAGCAAATAAAAAATTGAAGGCGAAGTGTGAGACGATTTTGTGGTATTAAACAAAAAGAATACAATATCAATAACAAATATTATGCATGAAACCAAACAAGCATGTATTATTGTCGAAGTAACTACACCATTGGCGGTGCCGTTATTTACCTATTTCAATACCTGAGAACTAGAGAATCGTTTTCCTCTTCGTTTAATCTTTGCCAAGCGAAATCATGTATACAGCCTTTAAGTCTAAAAACGGAGTAAACTAAATAACTAAATAATAAATTACTCTTAGGACGTTGGCTTCGCTTGGTCCAGTTTCTTGCTTTCGTTTATGTTCACGATATGAATTGCAATAAACGCAGCAATGCCAATCGACGCGCAATAAATTATACCTAGAGAATAATACTTGAATGAATACGCACGTTCAGCCAAAATCTTGCTTAAAAATATGTTGGGAATTATATAAAGGGTAGTTTTCCAGCCTTTACAAACACTCCTTGATAACGTGCGCGACACATAAATATACTACTATATATTATAGTGATAAGCAAATCGTTACTATTCACTGCCAGGTGTCAAGTCATTCAGTGTTCCTTAGCTGAACTTACGTTCTTAAGAAACAGTTAGCTGAGCTTGAAACTATGGTATCCGCCCACCGAAGTTAAACCGCCTTTGCAATGTGATTCTTCAAAACTATCCGCACCTGAAATTGACCTGCTTAGGAAACCGCCAGACCAACTCGTTCTATAGGCGGCTCTTCTGTGCGGCCAGCTCAAGGCTTATCGCTGTTCTTGCGCATCTGCCGCGAATGTATTCAAAACAAAAGATAATGAGGCCCACGAAGTAATTATCTATGGTGTCAAATGCGTTCGGTGGGTACAAACGCCTTGTTTAAGGGGCTGTTTACATGAGCCCGGTTACCCGAGATTCAACGAAGCGTGAGAGGACTTTGAGGTATTGAATAAAGTCTTTATGTCACCAAAACAAGCACATGCTATTGTTGTGGTGATTATACGACTGCCAGGATCATGTTATCTGCTCATTTCAATACCTCAAAATCCGATCTCACGCTTCGTTGAATCTCGGGTAACCGGGCTCATGTAAACAGCCCCTAAAACAAACCTTAATTATAGCTAATCGCAGCTGTTAATGTAACCCCGGCAAAGACGATCGATGAATTTTAATTTTAAAAATTTATTTTTATTTGAAATTAACATTTGTGAGCGTACTGAGGTGCAAATGACTAAAGACGGTCAATTATACTGAAGAAAATAGTCTCTCGAGATGGACACTCGCGTTCGCATAAATTTCAAAACTCTGCCTGGTCAATCCGAGTACATTTCTGCCCCAACAAAATTTCTGTCTGTATACATTACTCTACAGCCATGCATAGCCGCACAAAATATGATCTTCCTGTTTTTCCTACTATATGCTCGCAAATTAATCCAGTTTTCATGCTTAATGTCACAAGAATTAAGCCCTGCTACGAATGTATATGAATTATTAAATAATATATGACTTACTTTTAAAATACCCGTTGTTTACAAACTTTATTGCTTGAAGCTTTTAAATAGAGCAAATCGTAGAAAAAGGCAAACTTTTACTTTTGTGCGATGACTGGGTTACCCTGTTTCAGCGCTAGAAACTTTACACACTTGCTGTTTTGCTGTTTCACGTTTTGTAATGCCGGCGATATATATTGCGTCTGAAGATCTCAACTTTTGAAGTGTTTGACAATAAAGCGGTTCGATTACAAGACATCTGTCCAAAATGACATTTCGACTCAAGAGAAGATGCTAATTTGAAAAATGCTTTTTAAAAGACCATGGAGTGTAATATTTATAGAAAGAAGCGTTTTGTAAGCGATTTGATGTGGGTGTAGGTAAATAGGTAATATTTTATTGGAAATATGAAATCCAAGCAATTCTATATATGGGGGCGTGTTTGGTTTCTATGGAGGGCGTGTTTCAATATTAAAAATTTCATAAAAAAAAGGAAAGGTGGCACAAGAAAAACACACATGCATCGTTTAGTAATGTGTAAGACTACATAAGAAAGATTAAACCAACAATTGATACAAAGTGAATCATAGTATAAGTGAATGAAGCGATTCGACAAATTGTGCTTCATTAGGGGTCGATTCCAGAACATATAGGGCGGTTTATTTTAAGGCCAATCTCTGCATTGCAAGGCTTGGAATATGATGGGTCTGTTACGGAACTTCGCAGGTGCATGTAGTTTGATCTATTTGATCTATTACGAAGGAGCCCCGGAGAAGACCATTTGTACTTGGCACAAGATCTAAATCTCGAAATTTTAAAATATCATGGGTAGCCTGGGCGTCAATCGAACGTTAATTAAGGGGACCACATTCGTATATTCAATGATTGTTAGAACCCTTTCTGACTCTTGCTGCACGGGAGAGAAATCTTTGCAAATGCTCCATTAGTAATCTGCTACTATTCCATGCACAGAGGGAAGCAATAATCGAAGAATAGGGCTGCACTAGACGTATAAAGATTCCAAGATATGCAATCGAACAAAGGGTTTTACTCGTAAAATATGTTACACTACCAAAAAGCAATCATATTACAGCACCCAGTATCCTTGTTTTCTACTTTTTTTAACTATATACTTCTACCCAGTGTGACAGCTTTGGCCCCACCAGCGATGGTCCCTTTTCGGTTTAAATATTAGCAAAATAACCTCACTCCAGTAAGTATCCCCCATAATGCAGGAAATCAAATCAGAGAGACCTAACATTACAGAAACGTTTCTGGGAGAGGTTTCCCAGACCCCCATACAAACTCTGATGCTGCGTATTACAATTCTTTTTACCTATCAAGTTATTTTTGGTGTAAATTTAGATTACAAAACTTGCTGAGATTAACCAAACGATAGCAGTGAGACCCAATGTATGCAAGCTTGATGCCCCACAGCATGGTGCTTTTGTAGTGGTCTTGTTGTTTTCCGCTGTTGTGCTGGCCGTCAAAAATCTCATCTTTGTGTGGGTTTGACTTGGTTTTGAGCTTGGAACAGTTATGCTGGTTCCCAAATCGGCGATGGTAAATGGTGGCGATTTCGAGGTTTTTACCAAAGGAATTTCTATGTCTTTGATTGAGATATTTTTGGCTGTGTCTTCATCAGGGAGCTTCTGACAAAGATTCGTTGCAAAGTTTGTGAGATTGGTATTGTTTGCATGTTCTAAACTATAAAATAAAGAGGTTTTTATTAATGGCTTTATGGTGGTTGCTCGAATGGTCGGGAAGAATACGTGGGATGCAAATAACAAGAAATGATAGGATATATAGAGAAGTCTTCAAATTCTCTCTGAACGCCAACCTGTTAGCAGAACCATGATTTAGGTAGTAGAAAGAAAGAGTTCTGATTTAGTTTTACATGCACTTTAAATTTTTGACTCAATGAAACTGATTCAATCTTTTTCCCCTTCCTCCAAAGAGTCTTTCTTACCATTTCATGACTTTGAGGCAAAACCCTTTACCAAGCAATGACACTGCATACGCCTCATCTCTCGTACAGGCTGGAAAACCACCGTAACATGCGGCGTTGAGGACGTGAAAGCTGCAATTACTGGTCACGTTGTTTTCTTGTATCATCCTTTGTAATTTTCCCTGCTCTGCTACAAATGACGTAATATTGACGAATTCTGGAACCTATATGCATATATCGATAAGAAAGAAATCTGTCAATTGTAAATGCTATTGCACCAGTGTTTTACATTACGATGTCTTCACTTATAAGTCTGTTCGATTAGAATAATGTTACTATAAAATGGTCTAAATAAAAATTTTTGGTACGGCGTTTTCAGTAAAAAAAACTGACCTTAGATCATAGGTATATGTGAATATAATTAGATCACGTTACACTTCAATTTTCTTCTGCTTACCTTATAATTCCGCTTGGGGCATATTTTATTTTCCACATCTGGATATTCCTTACATATCTCGGATTTATCGTACCTCAGAGTTGCGTTGAGGTGTTTAGTGCAGTTAAGAAGCACGTCAAGGGTAAGTGCACTTATTCCGTCACATTCTCTCCTAGCTGTCACACATTGTCTATGCACTCTGTCAGAATCTAAATACACGTAGCTGAGATTGGTTTCACAAACGTAGATCATTTTTGAGCAATAGAACATGTCATTTGCTTTTGTACAGTTTTCATTGCCACCAGAGAAGCGAAGGAATTTTGCATTTCTATCCAGAACCTGTTTTATGCTTTCGCTGTCGATCTGTGAATGATTTGGAACCGAATCGGGAACTTTGTGACTGACTGGGCAGACATCGTTGACAGGGTTTGAAATACATGTGATGTTCCGCAACTTTCGAATCACAAACCCTTTGACTGGATGAAGGTTACTACACTGAACTTGTGTTATAATGAGGCATGCAAGTACAGAATATGTCGTCAAATACATCTTGTTGATCATACACTATCAGCTTCAGTCCACGCCTTGCTCTGTTCTTAATGCGTTTGATTGCTCGAATGGAGAAATAGTTTGTGTTCTCTTACATTGAAGTAATTATTGAAATGAACTTCGTGCAGTTTCACAGCTAAGGAGATTTTTCATTAAAGACCTCTTTGTCTGACAATAAAAATTATGTCATTGTTACATACCTATGGATAAAGAGTTGAAGTGAAGATATTGGAGTCAGTTTACTTTTTAATCCTAATGATCTTAAAGGTTATACATTTCGAGAACAATTATTCATGAAATCGTCATGGGATGATGACATGATTGCATGGGAACAGAGATGTAAATATCCGGAATAGTCAATTTTGGTCTTTCTCGTCAAAAGAATGCGCAATCCTCAAGGTTATAAGCAATTTGAAAGATCACTACCTAGTTACGGCTGAAAAGCCAATATTGATAATGATTCACGGAAACTAAGGCAGCTTTGAGAAACATTATTTATTTTTTATTTACGTTCAAAAGTTAGTCAGATGAATATCGAGGAACGATACTCTCGCGGCAATCTTTGTTCAAATGCAATTTTCAAATTACTATGACGATATGAAGTTCTTTCGAATTAAGTCGAAAATTGATCAGGGGTGTGCAGAATGAATTACACAGCTTAATTTTAAATTCAAAACCCCTTAATAACAACGCTATTGGTTATAGTTTTGAAAAGAATATTTTTACATTAAAATCTGCCAATGCGATTCTGATTTTAAGCTGTAGTAATTTTTCCGCACACCCCTAGATCCGCCACTGTAGCCAGCCTGACGATTTTGTCGCGCTATGTAAATTTCCAGTTTTTATTATTATTCATTTATTTAGAAATTTATTGTTTTCATGGTCTATGGGCACGAAAATATTAGCGTAGCGGAAAAAATCGTCAGGCTGGCTACGTTACTCTATATGCATGTTTCTCTTTTATTGCCTCTCATTATAACTCACGCTATAACCTAAGATCAGAATAACAAAATGATATACATGTGATTAATTTCGTTGCCAGCTGAGTACTAAGTAAGTTTGTTCAATATTCACAATTATGTGCCAGTACACTGGCTGTTTTTTAATGCTGTAACTATATATATCACAGGCAAATAAATAATGTACGCTAAACTTATAAAGTTATAATTTCAGTTCGTCCTTTTATCCCAGGATGTAACCTCAACGCACCTCTGTCAAAATAATAGTCAATTTTCTACACGTCTGATTCTTTGACTGATCTAGACAGAATAAATTCCAATAAATTGTGTGCGGTTTTATTGTTTAATTGTTCGCAGCAGCGTCCAGATGCTGCACTTTCACTGAAGTCATTGTTTATGTCCTTTTCACATGCGTTATGTTTTGGAGAATTTCGATCTTCTATAGTGATTTTGCGGTCAACATTACCCTGTTTCGTGCTATTGTTTGATGCCATTAAGTTGGAACTTTCAAACTCATTTTGTTTTGATCTGTTTGTTTTATGAGCCATTTCATGCAATCTTTCGTCTTCTGTGTATTCATTCGTGTTGTAACATTGGTAATCTGAGCTTCCAGTTCGTTCTTTCAACTTACAGTTCGTGTCATGAATCATTTCACTTGTCAAACTAGACGTGTCATCTTCTTCTCGATGTAAAGTCGCAGAAGAGTCGCTTGATATTGATCTTATATCATTTAATGTGTCGTTTGATGTACATATTTCATATTCTATTACTTCTTTAGTATCAAGTTGTTGTTCTTTCGTGTCACGCATTTCTTCTTTCGTTTCAATCCTTCCCTTCTTCGTGTCATGATTAGTAACAAGTATTTCTTTTTCACGCATTTCTTGTTTGGTGTCATCCGGGTTTTGTTCTTTATCAACCATTTTTTCTCCCAAAATTGGTAGATTGAAGTTTGTATCGCATGTTTTCTTGTGCGTATCACTACGATATCCATTGGCCATGTCGCGATATTTTACTTTTGTCTCGCCATCCAATTGCTTCGTGTTATTCAAACCTTTCGTCTCACTGTTTGAATCCTGTGCCTCCATCTTTCCTCTCAAACTCCTGTACTTCGTCAGTCTTCGCAGAGCGGCTCGTGAAAAAAATTTGCGATTGAATCCATCACCACCGGCAGAGCTGACACTTCCTGAAAAACCTGTCGTGCTGGTTAATTGGTCGCTAATTCGTGACCTCATGTTTCGATGACAAACCATTTGAACAGCCCCAAAAATAAACGGGTTTATGGCTGAGTTTGCATACAGTGTGATGGTGGAGAAAGCCTGGAGGTGGGTGTCTAAGGGATGGGACTCGATGGTTCTGAATGAAAACCACATCCAGTAGCAGTCGCCTGGTAACACGCAGATTACGAAGAGGATAACGGCAAGACTGAATATCTGAAGAACGAGAAATGATACTCACTCATCATTACGGCGAAAGTTCTAATCAGGCCACTGAACAGAGAAAACGAAAAGCAAGAGAAGAAGAGGACAAGATAGGCAAGAGAAGGAGCGAGAAGAGAGTCAAAAGAAAGAAGGCAGAGAAGAGAAGAGGAAGAGAAAAAGCAATAAACCGGAGGAAAGCAGATGAAAAGTAAGTAAGTGAGTGAGGAAGGAGAGGAACGATAGAAAAAGGCATAGAAGAGGAGAGAAGCATAAGGTATGGAAGGAACAAGAGGGAAGGTGTGACAGAGGAACAAAGAGAGAAGGCATAGAAGAGGAACAAAGGTCGAAGGCATAGAAGAGGAACAAGAGCAGAAAGCAATGAAGAGGAACAAGAGCAGAAAGCATAGAAGAGGAACAAAAGGAAAAAGCATAGAAGAGGAACAAATGTCGAATGCATAGAAGAGGAACAAGAGGAGAAAGCATAGAAGAGGAAAAAAGGTCGAAGGCACAGAACAGGAACAAGAGGAGAAAGCATAGAAGAGGAACAAGAGGAGAAAGCAATGAAGAGGAACAAGAGGAGAAAGCATAGAAGAGGAAAAAAAGGAAAAAGCATAGAAGAGGAACAAATGTCGAATGCATAGAAGAGGAACAAGAGGAGAAAGCATAGAAGAGGAACAAGAGGAGAAAGCATACAAGAGGAAAAAAGGTCGAAGGCACAGAACAGGAACAAGAGGAGAAAGCATAGAAGAGGAACGAAGGGGGAAGGCATAGAAGAGGAACAAGAGGAGAAGGTATAGAAGAGAAAAAGGAGGATAGGCATAGAAGAGTAACAAAAGACGAAGGCATAGAAGAGAAACAGCAGGAACATAGGAGAAGGCAAAAAAGGGACCCAAGAGAAGAAGGGGAAAATAGAATGAGGAAAGATGATCGTTACCTTATAAACTAAAATTAGAAATGAGATCCGAATGGTTAATACAGCTTATAACAAACACTTGAAGCACTTGGCCTGCACGCTTAACTCTTATTACCTTGATGACTTTTTTCTTCTGTTGTAATCTTTTCATAGTGGCCATATTCTGCACGGAAGAGGTCGATTCCTTATTATTAAACTTTTTAAACTTTGTGTGGAGAACATACCCGGCTCTGATATAACAATATGTAATTATAGTCAATGGTATACAATAATCCATCATGAACAATGCTAGAGTATAGTATTTGGCGTTGTCCGGAACTGACCAATTTTCCAAACAATCATTATCTGTGTATTTTAATATTTTAGCGTAAGGAATGACGGCTGCAATTGCTATGAGCCAGATGCAAACGATGCTACAACGTAGCCATTTTGGTTTCACCCTACAACAAAAAGAATATTTTGAAGAAAATTTTATGGATAAGTCAACCCTATTGCCTGGGGATTACGTTTTGGGCTAAATTTTTGGGTAATTGTATCCAACAATCCTTTGCGTTAAGAGTAAATTTATAGGGAAGTGACTGGGGATATCAAAAATAATAAAGTATAACATCACAAATATCACATTTGTGTAAACAGTAAACATCCTTGTGAAATTCGTGAATAATTATTGAGTCTAACCTCCAATCATTGCGCAGTATTTTGGTGACATATATACATCTGTAATTCTCCATAAAGGTCTTATGAATTAGTAATTAATATATCAACTTTGATACACCTAATCTTAATTAGTATTCATAACTTTGTTACACACATGCCCTAATATGCATTAAGCTTAATTTATTTATTTCGCAAGCACATTAAAATACTCGCGGCCGACCTGTATGGGATTCACAATGTGCTACCACACGCCATTGTAAATCCCCGTACAGATCGGCCGCTCGTATTTTAACTAATACTAAACACTTCAAGTACTCTTTAATATTTTCGATTTATCGACAGATAAGTGCATGAAAACAAATGTATCTAAACTTTTGAATGTATAATAGTCGCTTGCAACCTAGGACAAACTTTGACTATGTTAGCTATGACATTACTTTTTCTCGCGTATAACGGTAATGTTTGCAACGAACATTTGCAGATTTTAATTAGCTCAGCCAAACAGTGCTATTTAAGCGTGTGATTGGCCCATCAAGGTGGGGGCATAACAATGCTTCCAACAAACATTAAAGGTTCAGTGGAAAATAGTCGTTCATTACCGTCGTTCGTCTTAGTGTAAGTGACGGTAGAAACACATGCTGATACAAACCTTTGCTTAAGAGGACTACATATAGCTCTATGTCTCTCAAGACTCATGCCCATTAACGTCAAAATTGAGATGAGTATTAGGCAGGTCTGGGACGGGTATATCACGTGACATAAGAATGTTCCGTATGGCCATGACTCTGCGTACTGTAGGTAAATGTCCAGCGGTATACCAATAGCGCATACTAGTAAGTCTGCAATAGCAAGATTGAGTATGAAGTATTCACTGGATTTAAGACGGTCACGCGAGAGCCCCACGCAAATTACCACGTTCGCGAGGGATCCCACGACGCTGATGACACAGTAACAAACAATTTGTGTGATGAATAAGTAGTAATGGACATCATCGACACCCACCGTAATGTTGGTGGGTGGTAAAGTGGTTGTGTTGTTATGACTTCTCATTGCTTGGGCTTAGCCTGAAATTTAAAAACAAATGACTTATGATTACAGTCTGTGTATTGGTCATATAAGGAAAGAATACTAGCAAATTGAGTAACTATTAGAGTGTACCAAATGCGAAAAATCCAGCAAATGTTGGACTAATAATTATACTGCAGGCAAAATAGATTAAGAAAATCCTTACACAGGGGAAATAAAATAAAGATTTCGTCTTATTACATATGGAGTCATTGGTATGATGAGGCGACGACCCATATAGTGAGAATAAACTAGCGTATCAGTAATTTTAATGACATCCACAGGGTTTAGATGTATTCCGATGTTTTGGGGGAAATTAAAAACAAGTTAGTTCTGAGCTGATACTAGTCAATCTATTATCATAACAAAGTCTAGTTGCACAATATAGACTTCATAAATTGCTTTTCAGTGCACGGTTGATAAGGGGCCATACCTACCGATCTGCATGTCTGATCAAATCTATAAGATGACTATATCACTACGATTTAGATAGCTATCTATCTGCGCGCCTTGTTTTTCGATAAACCTTACGCATCACCATCATGAATAAACTATAATAATAAATATGTCTAGATGTATGATGTATCGTTTGGTTATAAGTTGGTTCGCATTGTCATAAGGAGGCCACTATCATATAAATCATGTTCGGTATTATTGAAAATGAATATTTGTATATTATTCAGGCAATGCAGCAAAGCTGTAAAACCCCAACCACCATAATTATGTATCGATCTTTCAAGTAAAATGATGATGATTGATGATTGAAGATTCGTTATCTTCATAAAAGGCCTCTGCGCAAAAAGATCTAATTAAATTCATGTCTTCATCATCGCTGGCTTATAGACAGACATGCAGAGTCCAATGCCCTATCATTAAATAGATTACCTGTCTTAACAGCAACGTTTGAACTAATATAGAATCTTTTTAGATGAAAATTACGTTGTAAAATTAATATAGTTTTGAGGCCTTCACGAATGATCCACACATGACGCGGTATTGATGTAACTGTCACGGTATATTGAATGCTTATTTAAAAGTTTGCTCTTAGCTTACCGCAGCAGGAGGTTACATGAAATTGCTAATGACTCGTATATCGTTCGATTCGATTGTAAACTCAATTCGTCGGTGATTCTCGGTCGTCGTTCTTTGCGTGCTCATCGGCCTTTCATTTAGTCGTAAGCACATCATTGCTCATCGGCCTTTCATTTAGTCGTAAGCACGGCCACTTTTGCCCAATATTAGCCGAATTAAGAGGGAGGAGCTAGGGGTATGGTTTAGTCATGCGAACGATTGCTATAAAATATTTAGGCTCTCAGAGATGTCGCTCAATTTGGAACCGATGCATCAAAATTGCTTCATAATCATCAAGAATTGTGCCTTCATGTAACCCAAACGAAACTTTTTTGCAGAAGGCAAAAATACGAAAGTAAAATGCAACTAAAAAAAAGACACAAGCAATATGACTGTCAAAAATATATGTCAGTCGAAAACGGATTTGACAAACCGCACTGAACTGTAGTTTACTAGGGCCGGCCTATATAGCTGAAATTTATCACAAAGTATATTTTCATCAAAAATGAATCTCAAATGTTCGTGAAAGGAGTAAAATCAGTCGAGGAATCGCCCGATAGCGATGTGTTGAAAAACCGACAGAAAGTTTTCACAGTTATATAGCAAGGCGCCGGGTTATGTTTGAATTGAATGTCTAGAGCGAAAAATCTTTTCTTGACGTTTCAAAGCGAGGTCCTTTTCCTCAAAACTTCTCTCTGAAGCTAATGAAGATATAAAATTTGCACCATCAAACCACGGTACTTTATTGTATGTAGCTAGAACAATATATTTTCATGATATACTGGACCTCCTTAACTTTGAGATGTTTTTCATGCATGTAGATGATAGATAATAGTGGACCAACAATTCGAAAGGAAATTAGCAACTCAAGACGGCATGCAACATATGTGACAGCTATTGATTAAGCTATTGTAGTGGCTTAGCCTTAACCATGATTTCCATGCAAAATGCTACCGGCTGAAGTACACTACTGGGACTTCCGAGATACTGTGGACTTCCGAGATACTGTGGACAAACGCATTTATATGGCTATATACAGTATATTCATGCACTAAGGCATCGAGTAAGAAACTATAATTTTGACGCAGCCCGGCGCATTGCAAAATATACTGCAACGTATTACTTCACAATATTTAAAAAATAGGTTTTTTCAGCCTCAAAACCACCGCAAAGCGCAAATATCAATTCGGAACCGACATGTCAGTTCCCGGCTATATTAAAAGTGAGAAAATTCATACATGTCGAATAACAATACCTTCACTTTGCTCTTTATAAGTATACTGCATGTTTATATGAAGATTCAAGTAGTTATATCACATTATGCAAGTGGATATATTATACAGGATACTGTCTCTCTTTGAATTGAATCAGATGCAATTTCATATTCATTTACGTGTTTATATAACTGTAACTAAAGAAAAAAAACGCGAACACAATGCAATTGAAAGAAATTATAAGATAACTATTTTAACTCCGTTGCATTTTCGATAACATCAATTGAGCTAATAACTTTCTGGTTTCGCGGTTTTCTCATTAAGAAAATAGACAAGTAATTTACTTTTCACGTAAATAATTTATCAGGTTTGATGGAATTTTGAAGAGTATATGCATGGCACTTATAATGGCAAATATGTGCAAAGTCCATTCATTTCTTCCAAATTGCATGCTTTAACAAACATTGCAATATAACTATACTCTATAGATAAAAATTAATGTAATTTCAAACGGTGGGCCTCTGAATCATCATACGAAAACATAAATAAACATAAATAAAATGATTATAAATTTAGTAAAATGGCAAAATATGCTTTGAATCTATAAGCCATCAAAATTTTACTGAAAAAGTATACTTTAATAACAACAATTTCTTCCATTAGCATTGACTCTGAGTGCCCTGAATGACGAAAGAGGGTAAAAATTAGTCCCTGCAGGGAGGTTTTGTTTATTATATTGATAAAATTGTGGGTTATACAGCCATAGGAGGCAGACTATGAATCGCTATTATCGCTATATTATGATTTAAAATAGAGAGAGGACCTGAAATTGATCCTTGAGGAACTCCACATGCATTTTAAACTAGATTAATCTTATAAGATCAGTATGGCAAGAATAGAGAACAGAATAACATATCTTCATCAACCGAATTACGCTATTTTGGTGGGTTTCGTTTTTGTATAAACTTTCTCAATTTTGGAACACAGAGTAATTTTTTTCATACTGGCTCTTCTATACTGAAGGCAAATGAATTCCTCGTTCAAATCATCTGAACCTAGCTGTGCTTGATAACTGGACACAAATGCTCTGGCATAGTCCAATTCAGTGGACAATTTCACACTGAATTTTGAAGCGGCTTGCTTGTCCATGAAATGGGTAAACTGTGATGACTAATTGACCAGACTGACATTCCGAGTTTCGTGTTTTAAAAATTTTAGGGAAGATCAAAAAATGCACATCGAATCAAACTTTCAAATCTATCAAAAAAAGGAAATCGCACAAAAAATTGCAGTATACGACCAATAATTTGGATGCATCCAAATTAGTTGTGAAAAAGCTTTTTCTCATGCAGTTAAAGTAAGGCATAGACATAATAGCTTGGCCTGTGATGGAAATTTACTCATATTGATACTTCTGCCTCAACCTTTTCCATCCAGTCTGGGTCCTGTTGAATTTCTATAGGAATTGCAACTTTGAGCGATCTTCACTTTCAGATGGCTCCTATATAGAGAACAACATAGACAGAACCTCTAGGAGAGAGGCGGCAAAAAAGGCAATTTGGGACTCCGGCCAAAAATGATGAAATACAGCTAGAGCTCTTCTCTAGAAGGAAAGAGACACTGCATAGTGGAAAAGGTTCGCATCCAGAATTGTTTTTTTTCCCTTGGGCCAAAGTTTCAAAGTTTAAGAAGGTTTAAAATTTAAACATGATTTGGGTGAAAAAGCTGCTTCTAAGCTTACGTCATGTATTTTTAATCATTGGTTTTGTCTGGTCTTGGTAATTATGATATTGAAAGATCCGACAATTCCTTTTGAAAAATGTAATATATCTATTATATATTCAGATATTCCGCTAAGGAAACCAAAACGTCCGATTTTCTAGGGCCACTTTAATATGTATGAGCGTTCGAAATATGTATTTCAAATCTTGGTAATAATTCATCTGCGTTGCAAACAATTTATTCAACTGAAACAGGTCATTTTTGAAGAGTGACGTCTCGTATATATACTTCAATAGCAACGTAAGTATATGGCGGAAAAGTGAAAATAAATATATATCTTAAAACAATCCAATGGCGTCTATAAGTCTAGTTTCTATTTTCCATTTGGTAAGGACAAGTAATTCTCACTGATGTGAAATAGCCCGGGAGCCTTTTCCAAGATCGCCGGAATTGGACCTGTTTTGAAAAATGTGGAAAACATTTCTGACAGGCTTCTTAACGTCGGGATAATTATTGGGCGTTTATTCATATATTTATATAGTCTGGCCGACAAATTTCTTTTTTGTCGGGGGAGAACGAATAAATGCTTTTAAGGGTGAAGTCGCCAATTTAATAGGAAACACTGATTCTACATTACACAAATAACTGCTAACTACCACAACACAACCATTTGGCTGCGGATTAATTTTTGTAAAATTTGACTACACGACTTGGATCTTTTTTTATACATAACGCGTTTGTCTGTCTCTATATATAATTCTCATGGTATATACTGACCTTACACTTGGACAACAACTGCGCACTATACATCGCTACTCACTGACAGCTGGCTTCGCGGCAGCAGATATATGCACATTTTTATCGTTGTTTTCCTGTCTGTGTTTTTTTTGTCAGTCATAATGCATCTCATCTTTAATAAAACCATGCATCTGCTCAAACTTTATTATAT